TTGTTCTGTTCCCAAGGTTGGTACATTTAAAAAAGATTTACCGTGGCGGAGCACGGGATGCAGCTAGTTATTTTATATCAACCTGCCCAATATCTGCCTCACTAAAATCTCAACGCTCATTTTCTTCTTCTTTAATAATTTTTAGTGTTGGGGGGGGGGGGGGGGGGGGGGGGGTGTTGGAAATCGAGCCTTATACAGTGTTTCTTCCGAATTTTTTCTCATTTTCTCCTGGGGGGGGGGGGGGGGGGAGAGGTTAAAAGTAAATATTTTCTATGTATATATTCCGTTTCGTTCGGGGGGTGGGGGGGTATACTTTCTTCGGGGGGGGGGGGGGGGGGGGGGGGGGCGTTCCGCTCGAAGAGATGCCTGGAAGATATTCTGGCCTTATCTGCCAGAGGGGTTTAAACTCGTGACATTTTCGAATTTATCAACCATGAGCTTTTTGTTGTTTAATTTTGGAGTTGTCTTTCCTAGAAGAGTGGCTGTCCCCAGCTAACGAGCCTCATCTGCCCGAGGGTTCGAACTCGAGACTTTTCGCTTTAGCAACCACGAGCTTTACCGACTCGACCACGCCGACCCCCTCACCGCTCTTGTTGCCCGGATTAAAAAAAAATTTTTTTTAGAAAATTTGAAGTAAAAATAAGTACAAAGCAGATACCTTTGTGTGTTGTCCAGTTTGGGATGATTTACGACTACAAAACAGATGACTTGGCATTGTTACCCCCCCCCCCCCCACTTCACTTCCACTCGCTGCCCTTGTAGAATGTGGCCTAAATAACACGTGACCGCACCGTGTGACATCAAGAAAAAATATTAGCACCGTTTATTTACTCAGTGACAGGTTACGTGTGGAGTTGATGCAGACGTGCAAGCACTTGTTTTTAAAACATGAAACCGTTAGGTCAGTGATCGTGTCTCACCCGACACGCGAACAAGAGCTGTATAAATAATTCTCAATAGCAAAATTGGTGAACAATTCCTTAAACAATTCCATGAAATCTATGGGCGTCCTTGCATTCGTTGAGATAAAACTACATGTAGTCAACTATGTTCAAGGTTATGAAACTTCTCTGATCAAATTCGTGTGATTTTAAAATTTTTTAAAATTTGTTCTTCATCAAACTCATCCAGAGTTTCTTCCAGGCATCTCTTCGGGAGCCACCCCCCCCCCCCCCCCCCCCGAAAAAGTTTAACCCCCCCCCCCCCGAACGAAATTGAATTTATATAGAAAATATATACTTTTAACAGTGTCCCCCCCCCCCCCCCCCCCCCCTCCCGCCCGGAAATTTTAGTCCGCCTCCCCGAAAATTTCAAGTGCCCTCTCGGAGAAAAAAGTCTGGAAGAAACACTGAACTCATCGTGTCCAAGATACCTCGGCATATGAAGAGACAGTGTGGTCATCACTATGTCCAGCCGCCTTTACTTTCCCTAACGTGAACTAGCTACCCATCAGAGCTGGGTGGACTCAGGGACGTTCCACTGACTTGAACCCCTAATCGAAATCGATCACTTTAATAAGGCAGTCAACCGCTTGGCCGCACTGTCCCATAAAAATGTGTTCTCAGTGACCTTAAATATTCAACTTGTTTAATGTGTGCATCAATGCGGAGGTTAAAGTTCAACAACAATTGAAATGTTTGTAAACAATAACAAAACGAAATGTGTGGGTTGACAATTAACAAACAGTTAGCCTGCAACAGTATATAAGACGTGCCGGCATTCAAGTGGAGGACTGTTCAAATCTCAAGAAGAGAAGACTTTACCCGTTAAACCAAAAGTTGAAACTCTGAAGGTAATGCAAGTTCCGTAACACTTGTGTAGTCAACACAGGTTCTAGCTGCAGCCATAGTCTACACTGGTGTTAGTTCTACGAATCCTAACTGCAGCCATAGTCTACACTGGTGTTAGTTCTACGAATCCTAACTGCAACTATAGTCTACACTGGTGTTAGTTCTACGAATCCTAGCTGCAGCCATAGTCTACACTGATGGTAGTTCTACGACTGCTAGCTGTAACCAGAGTCTACATCAGTGTCAGTTCTACAAATACTAGCTGCAGCCATAGTCTACACCAGTGTTAATTCAACTAATCCTAGCTTCAGCCACAGTCTGGTGTTAGTTTTACGAATCCTAGCTGCAGCCATAGTCTACACTGGTGTTAGTTCTACGAATCCTCGCTGCAGCCATAGTCTACACTGGTGTTAGTTCAACTAATCCTAGCTGCATCCAGAGTCTACATCAGTGTCAGTTCTACGAATACTAGCTGCAGCCATAGTCTACACTTGTGTTAGTTCTACGAATCCTAGCTGCAGCCATAGTCTACACTGGTGTTAGTTCTACGAATCCTAGCTGCAGCCATAGTCTACACTGGTGTTAGTTCTACGAATCCTCGCTGCAGCCATAGTCTACACTGGTGTTAGTTCAACTAATCCTAGCTGCAGCCAGAGTCTACATCAGTGTCAGTTCTACGAATACTAGCTGCAGCCATAGTCTACACTTGTGTTAGTTCTACGAATCCTAGCTGCACTACACTGAAGTTAGTTCTACAAATCCTAGCTGCAGCCGGAGTCTACACTGAAGTTAGTTCTACGAATCCTAGCTGCGGTTATAGTCTACACCAGTGTTAGTTCTTCAAATACTAGCTGCAGCCATAGTCTACACTGGTGTTGGTTCTACGAATCCCCGCTGCACCCATAGTCTACACTGGAGTTAGTTCAACTAATCCTAGCTGCAGCCAGAGTCTACATCAGTGTCAGTTCTACGAATACTAGCTGCAGCCATAGTCTACACTTGTGTAGTTCTACGAATCCTAGCTGCAGTCATAGACTACGCTGGTGTTAGTTCAACTAATCCTAGCTGCAGCCAGAGTCTACATCAGTGTCAGTTCTACGAATACTAGCTGCAGCCATATTCTACACTTGTGTAGTTCTACGAATCCTAGCTCCAGCTATAGTCTACACTGTAGTTAGTTCTACGAATCCTAGCTGCAGCCATAGTCTACACCAGTGTCAGTTCTACCAATCCTAGCTAAAACCATAGTCTACACCAGTGTCGGTTTTACGAATCCTAGCTGCAGCCATAGTCTACACTGGTGTTAGTTCTACGAATCCTAGCTGCAGCCACAGTCTGGTGTTAGTTCTACGAATCCTAGCTGCAGCCATAGTCTACACTGGTGTTAGTTCTACGAGTCCTAGCTGTGGTCATAGTCTACACCAGTGTTAGTTCTACAAATCCTAGCTGCAGCCAGAGACTACATCAGTGTCGGTTTTACGAATCCTAGCTGCAGCCATAGTCTACACTGGTGTTAGTTCTACGAATCCTAGCTGCAGCCACAGTCTGGTGTTAGTTCTACGAATCCTAGCTGCAGCCATAGTCTACACTGGTGTTAGTTCTACGAATCCTAGCTGCAGCCACAGTCTGGTGTTAGTTCTACAAATCCTAGCTGCAACCATAGTCTACACTGGTGTTAGTTCTACGAATCTTAGCTGCAGCCACAGTCTGGTGTTAGTTCTACGAATCCTAGCTGCAGCCATAGTCTACACTGGTGTTAGTTCTACGAATACTAGCTGCAGCCATAGTCTACACTTGTGTTAGTTCTACGAATCCTAGCTGCAGCCATAGTCTACACTGGTGTTAGTTCTACGAATCCTAGCTGCAGCCACAGTCTGGTGTTAGTTCTACGAATCCTAGCTGCAGCCATAGTCTACACTGGTGTTAGTTCTACGAATACTAGCTGCAGCCATAGTCTACACTTGTGTTAGTTCTACGAATCCTAGCTGCAGCCATAGTCTACACTGGTGTTAGTTCTACGAATCCTAGCTGCAGCCACAGTCTGGTGTTAGTTCTACAAATCCTAGCTGCAACCATAGTCTACACTGGTGTTAGTTCTACGAATCTTAGCTGCAGCCACAGTCTGGTGTTAGTTCTACGAATCCTAGCTGCAGCCATAGTCTACACTGGTGTTAGTTCTACGAATCCTAGCTGCAGCCACAGTCTGGTGTTAGTTCTACAAATCCTAGCTGCAACCATAGTCTACACTGGTGTTAGTTCTACGAATCTTAGCTGCAGCCACAGTCTGGTGTTAGTTCTACGAATCCTAGCTGCAGCCACAGTCTGGTGTTAGTTCTACGAATCCTAGCTGCAGCCAGGGTCTACGCTGGTGTTAGTTCTACGAATAGCCACAGTCTACATCAGTGGTTTTGTTAATAGCTGAAGTCACAGCCAGAGTTTCTTTCAGGCATTTTTTTCATTTGTCGGACATATGTATATATGAAACATCAACCACAGCTGACAACAATGTACTGTGCGAAAGCTACAGCTACTTTATATTACATTTAGAGAGTTTAGTTATTTTTTTTGTTGTTTAAATTGATTCTTATCTTTGTGTTACAGGATTAAATTGCTTATTTTCTACAGATACAAGATGTTCACCCATATTATAAAGCCTTTGCCAATTGTGGTCATTCTTGCTACATGTATAAACGGTATGTCTTCTTATTCATTACAATAGATTAAACCTTTTTTATTACTAATTTTCTTTTTTTGACATTGAAGTTGCCTTTGTTTTACAGCTCTCTGGTGTGCAATTGCTAAATTATAATAAATAATGATTATCTTAACGATCAAGATTCTGAATATTGAATTAAATATTACCGTGCCTTGTAAAGTAAAATACATAAAAAGTAAGTTGTATAGATAATATCTATTAGATATCAATAGCTGAAAACTCTAGGTCCACCTGACATCTTTTAAAAGAATAACAAAAAGTTGCAGAAAAAGAAATTATTGTATTTGTGCAAAAGGTGTTTATATTACTATTAAAACCGAAATTTAGCCCTACCTTTATTGAAGCTCGAAAAGTTACTTTTTTCAGTTTAAAAAAATAATACAATTTCTCTACTAAAATGAGGTTTTCAATTCCTCTATTTGCATCAGGATCTAGATCTAGATATAGATTAGATCACTTTAGAAAAATATAAATTAATTTTTAAATGCTTTGGCCTTAGATCTAGATAGATCTAGATCTAGACAATCATAACTGATAGGCCTAAAAAGTGCATGTATTGTTTCATTTGTTTTTTCAGTGGCTTTTACTTTACCTCTTCAACTTTTCCGAGTAAGTAAAATATTCAATATAATTTAAATTTATAATTATGGATGGCCCCTTGTAAGCCCGTTGTTTATTTCATAAATCAAAAATCCAAATGAAAACGTTAGTAAAACATAACATAAGAATATTAACTTCGCAAAAATATTACATTGGTATTAGTGGGTGTGTAGCAGGAAAATTAGTAAATTACCAGTGTGATTAGCTTATTACACTAGAGATCTATGAGATTGTTGGGTTAGTCATTTACTCTATTTCTGTAGTTCTAGATCTACAACATTTAATTTTAAACTCAATAAACTGGAATAAATTAGATCTAAATCTAGATCTAGACTACATTCAAATAGAATTTTTTTTTCAGACACACAGACCCTGAGTGCCCCACCTGCTGTAAATGAAGTAGATCTACCCAAGTCTCTGGACATGAATAACTCAAGCAGTAAGTATTTTGTAATTGATTATAAATATTGTCCAAAGCGTAATAGTAGCTTAATACAACAGATTATAAGAAGTCGATTAATTAGATACAAATACATAACTGCTGAAAAAATCTGAAGATTTCAATGCGTTTATTTAACATAGTATCAAGCAGGTTATTAGAGTACTTTAAAAAATCACAATCTCTAAGGTTAGTCTTCTTCTTCTAGACTCTAGATTTAGTTAGATCTAGAATCTAGATCTACTTTCACACTTTGTTATTAAAAAAAATGCATCTTCATTCAGTAAAGTAAAAAGTAAAGTAAAGTTTCCCTTTCAAACCTGACGGTCTACGGGGCAAGTGAAGTAGAGTTCACTTGTTTCTGTGACCTCAGCATATGAAGAGATAATGTGGTCAGCACTATGCTCAGCCGCCTTTACTTTCCCTAACGTGAGTTAGGTACCCATCAGAGTTGGGTGGACTCAGGGACGGTCTACTGAATTAAACCCGGATTCGAACTCGAGACTTACGGGTTAGCAGTCCAGCTCTCTACCGCTAGATCACTCCGTCCCATATCTTCATTCAGTCATTTGATTTTAATTTCGTACAACTAGATACTAGATCTAGCTCTAGTCCAACATCTGACACCCCGTTTTTCTCCGAATGATCGGTTTTTTTCCCTGGGCCATACCGTCATGGGATACACTTTTATTTGAAAAAATTATAATTTATATTTATGGAAGGAATCTCGTCAACTCGCTGGTGTCCATTCTGAGAATTATTTGTTAGTCATGAGGTGTCAGCATGTAGATTCTAGAACCTAGACTAGTTATAGTTGGCATGTCTGTTAATAAAATATAGATCTCTAGGCCTAACATTTTAAAGAATTTTAACTTTATGTTTTGGGGTTGGAGTAAAATGTCTGTTCTATACCACATTTTAGATCTAGACTCTAGTTGAAATTAAATTAAACTCCAATAAATTATTTATAATGTAATTTCTCTTTCAGTGACATTGAACACTCCCTCCAATAGGACTGAAACACGAAGTGTAACTGAAACCATCAGAAGTAAGTAGATCTAGATAGATCTAGATTCTACATTGTACATTTTTAACAAAGAAAACAGGCAGAACAAAATAGAATTTTATTCCTTGTGTAAATGAGCTTGTAGATCTAGAATCTAGATCTAGATTTCTAGATCTAGAATTATAGATTTTTATATGTTAACTAACATTAGTACACATTTCATTACATTTGATTTATGTTAACTGTTAACTTAGTTAACTAGATCTAGGAATCTAGTCTACTTAGAAATCTACTTAATAAAACAACAGTAGTATTGATTTTAATTAATTGTTTATACCAAACTAGTAGACTACTTTCATATTTTTATTTTTGAAAATTTGAGTTTCCTGTATTTTGTCATTCTTTTTAAAGTATCGATCATTATTTAAAGTGTAACATAGTAACATAACTTGCCCTGTTTTCTTTTTTAACATGAACACACAGTCAATTTTTTTTCCTAACGTATTTAAACTAATTATAGATCTACTAAATAAATAGTAAATAGTTATTAAATAGGATCCACATTTATCATAACAGTATGCTGAGTATTCAAAACCACTAAATTGGAAGTAACTAGAAAGAAATTGATTATAATCTAAATACAAATGATTGTATATTATAAAGGCATAAGACTTAATTACTAATTACATAATTAGGCCTTCATGTTTCAAAAAGAAACCTAAGTTCGAAACCACAACCACACTGAACATTGTGCTGTTAGAATGTACTTTACAAATAGATCTAGATCTAGGAAATGAAAATGTGTATTTAATTTCTTTTCAGTGGTGTTGGCTACACCACCTACTTCTACAGAGGTACCAAACCATGACATTACCCGTAAGTATTTGTCATTCTTTATTGCATATATAATTATATAGGCCTACTATATATTTTTAATTAAAATATGTTGTGTTGTTCAGAGATTACATTTAATGTGTTCTTAAGAATTTAAAAGCTAGCTAAGAACCTAAGATGAATTGAGTTTACATTTTTTATTCACTTAAGACAAATTAGATTTGATCCATTTTATAATGAAATGTAGTTAAATTCTGTTTAGAATATACTTTTGATGAGCTTTTAGAGAAGAGATCTCGTTATGTTTACCATTTTTAAAATACTTAACAGTTATAATAGTCACTTCTGAAAGTAGATCTATTCTGTAATTGTAGTTGTTTTGATATGTACCTAATATGCTACTAAACCTACTTATTAGGTTAAAAATTGCATCAATAATCAATTAATATTTAGGAAAGTTAAACAAAGTAGATATATAAAACATACATTTCACTGTAATCAATCTAAAAAAAAATGTAATTTTTATCATTCAACTTGTAATTCAGCCAATGCCAAATAGATCTAGATGGGATGTTTTACTTTTATATTTTGTTTCTCTTAACCTCAGGTTCAGATCGTGTACTAATAGCAGGTATAGACTTTAACAAATCTGTTGTTAAAAACACAATATTTGATGCAAATAATATCAAAAAGACTTAAATTTTATTTTCTTCTGCATTTATAAATATACAAGTAGTTTTAATCTATTTCTAATGTGTTATTTGTCCTTTATTTTAGCTGCAGCCATCGGATTGTTTTTTCCGCTAGCTGGTGTCATTGGAATTGCTGTCCATTTCTGCGCCAAATAAAGATAAGGTGAGTGTTTTGTATTTTGTTTATTTAGATCTTTGATGTAGCTTTCTCGTTTTCATGTACAATTATTTTTTATGTTACCTGTTCATGCTTTAATGATAGAGCACAGATATTTTTACTGTGAACAAATATTTTAGATATTTGAAATACCAAAAATGCGAAGATGGCGATTCTAATCATTGGGAGCCCAGAATCTGCACATTAGTTTGATTAACATTTCATGTATACTATATCTTTTCATTACTTGCTATGCTTTCTTACTATAATCTTGATAGATAAAATTAACTCTCTTAGTCACTAGCCGTGACTTTTGGAAACAAATAAAATGATGGTAGAAAGAAAAAACTGACAGTCTTTGAAGTCGATTTTTATGACGAGTGTCACTTCTTCAATTTGTGGGCTCAGAATCTGTTTGGGAAAAAATTCATAGTTTATGGTAACACATAATTATTACTATTTTACTAAAATAATTGTGTTTATTAAAAGCAAAATTGTAGGTCGAAATTTAAAAAAAAAAGGTTATAATTATAAGATTTGTACAGTTAAAATTGCATTCCATTCTAAAAGTAAGAGAAGTAGCATTTAGATTTCCCACTGTATATTTGTTGCTATTGTGTTGTAGTTTTGTGTTTCTTTTTACTTAATGCTTGTTAGATCCTACTGTAGAGGCCAAAGTTAAATAGAAGTAATTTTAGAAGCAGATTTTACTTAATTAAAAAATAATTTGCTCTTTGTAACTGTTAAATTTAGGTAATTTTTATTCGATGTACCATTATAATTTGTGGATGAGATAATAAAACTAAGCCATACTTAATAATGCCTGATTGAAGTTTCAGACCTGCTGGCGTCTTGCAGTGTGTAAACAGCAAAAAAACTAATTTAACTTGAAGTCATTTTTATCACTATAGCTACTTAATGACAAGACATGGCTTTGGATTCTAAAAGTTTTTCAACATTGAGTTTGTGACATTGTTAAGGATGCTGAATCTAGCTACCCTTTTATTTCTATCACAAGCAACAGTTTTAACAGACCATTTATTTTATTCTCTTCCAGCAGCATCAAGTCAACTCATCTGTCTGGTGATCCAAGCCCCTGTCTACAGATTGAAAGACTGTCTCAAGTGTTAAAGTCAAGTGGTTGAACAAGTATAATGGAAGTTTAAAGCCAGTTCATACTCTTGTGTACAGTACTTAATATAATTGTATTGACAATGTTGTTTGAGTTCATCATACATATTTAAAATCCTATAAAATAACTACAAGCTAATTTTATTTCTCTTATAATATTGTGTTGTTTAAAGTTAAAGGGATAAGTTTTTTGGACAAAAAAAAAATTGTAATATTTGTTTTTTTTGTTTCACTGTATTCATTGTCTCTCTATTGCCCAAATTTTTTTATTGGGCTGTCATTATTGTTTCTGTAATTAGAAGGATGCATGCCCTGCCCATGTAATGTTTAATAAAAATTATAAACTATTTCAGGATTTATTCAGTTTTTTTTACATAAACATTTATTTAGATTATTTTTAAAATTATTATGTAAGTTATTACTCAGTTGTCAAGCTGTTATGTAGCTAAATGTTGCAAGCAACCAAGAAAAATACATTCCTAAACACAGTTGTTCATAGGGCTGATGAAGAATAACATGTTTTGTTTTCTTGTTATCAATATTTGATGGCATTGTGTGGTCAGTGCTATACTATACTCAGCCATTGTAGCTGTCTAGAATTCATGCTGGGTGAACTCCGGTATAAAAAAACCCAGCAAACTTTGTTTTAGACTGAATGGCTAGAATTTATATAATCTCATATTCTGAGACTCATCCAATACAGAGGGTCAAGGTCAAAGATAATAAATAATGAACTGAAAGAAAAAAAAAGTACTTTTTGTGGAAATACAAATACAGGCTAAAATACTTTTACTATCCATGATAATCCTCAAATACTAATCATTGCTGGTAAAACCCGTCAGTGATCACATCATTGGAAGACTACCGAGTCAGTTACATCTAGGGTTTCTTTCAAAACTTCGCTCTAAACTTCGCTTTAAACTTCCATGTTGGCCTTCATCATTTCTTCTTGTTTACTATAACCACCAAAATATGTCATATGTGGCCTTGGACGATTTTTTTCCAACTGTTGTAAATAATGTCAGTCATTGAGCCTGGGCCTAGTTCCATTCCGTTCATGGGTAAAGGGAAATAATTCACTTATTTTTAAAAATTATTGACGTGTCTCCCCTTGATCACTGCAGCAAAAAGTACCGTGTGTCTTAAGGAATCATCCATTTATGACGTCCACAAAAATTTGGGCTTCAGACCCCTCCCCCCCCCCCCACCCCGTCCACTTTCGACGAGCCCCCTTCCCCCCCCCCCCCCCCCCCCCACAGTGTGAACGTCCATAAAAATTTAGTAAATCTGTCAAAACATGCTGCCAAATTACTAAGTCAATAGCATGCATCATGTGGGTCTACCAGGCTAAGCTTTAAATTTGATATTTTCGGCAATGTATTGAAAAATAAGTATATTTTGAACGACTTAAGCACATTCTTCATGCGCCGTTATTTAAATTTCTAATTTTAACCTGGTTATTTTGAGTTTAATACTTGAAATAAATACCTACATCTACATCGTTTTTAGTCTTTGACCCAAAAAAAAACGATCTATCAGAGAGGTCTAGATGTAATTGTTTTTTTTTTAAAAACTTATGCATAAATTCTTTGAAATGCTAAAAGATCAACTTGAAACACCGTGGAATGATTTAGAAAATTGCCGCGGTCAATTCTACCCCCCCCCCCACTCCCCTCACGCTTCTTAAAATGTGCCGCTTTTTTTAGTCGGGCGGTATACAGTACATCTGATACATTTATTTAACACAAGAACAGCTGATTTGAATACATACATTTTTAATGCAGTTTTTTTTAGTTTTTAAATTCACTTTTTAATATTAAAGATGTATTTTGTTGTAAAATTCAACATGTGGATGACCACATTGATCCGAACGCTCCCTCCCCCCTCCCCCCTAGTCCACACGCGCGCGCACAAAAATCGATTTATTACGACGGGACCTCATAAATTGATGATCAGTGTTTCTTTCAGACTTTTTTCTCCGGGGGGGGGGCACTTGAAATTTTCGGGGGGGGGGGGGGGGGGCGGTAGACTTTCTTCGGGGGGGGGGAACACGGTTAAAAGTATATGCTTTCTATATAAATTATAAAAATTTCTTTTCGTCCGGGGGGGGGGGGGGGCGGTAGAATTTGTTCGGGGGGGGGGGGGTGGCTTCCTGGAAGAAACTCTGTTGATGATCCTAAGATATTCTATCTACTGGCTTTATTTACACCTCCTGGCAAAACAGCTTTATAGCCCCTTGAACATCAGACTCAAACCTCACATACTGTCCCCGTGGTATTAAACGGTTGAACTTTATGACGAAATTATCACCAAATTTAAATCCTTAAACCTGTGTTCATAAACCTTATTCTGTCATTCAAGGTTAAGAGTGTAAGTTTCCCATTGAATTATTGTAATTTTGTGTTTAAGTGTAAAATATTAATATTATTTGCTAAAGAAAATATCATATTTCCAAACTTACGCATTATAACTGTCGGGTTCTCTTATCTAAAGAATGTATTCAATACAGGACAACGCAACACAAGACCTTTAGCCCAATACAGAATACTCTGTTAAATGAAACTGATAAAAATAATTGTCGGCATGTTCATTAAACACAATAGCAAAAAATATTATCTGTAATAAAAATTCTAATTTTGTCTGAAAATTATTTATAGTTAGTCCTTTAGCACTTACTTACCTTTGATAAATTAGGAAAATACAATTACTTCCCTTTATAAAACATTGCATTAGTGGAAAAGAATTTACTTTTTATTACTTTGTTTTAGTGTGGGAAAAAAAATAATTACATAATTAGCGGGGATTGATCAAGTGCAAATGTTGTAGGTATTTTACGGATAAGCTTGGAGTATTATAATTGTTCATTTGGTTTGGTTTGGCACCTACGTTCGTTTAAGTGAGTGCAAAAGACTATGAATAAGTTGGGGTACTATAGTCGTTTATTAAGCTGAAACAGGCGATTCTGCCCCGGGCTAGACTGTGAGCACTTTGCGTTTATGTTCGCGTTTGTGTTTTCTTTGTGTTTAGGTTGGGTTTGCGTTAGTGGTTGCGTTTTGATTTGGTTCGTTTTTGTTCTATCTTTTTTCGTTTTCGTTTGTGTTTTTTTCTTTGGGTTTGTGTTTGTATTTGTGTTTGTGGTTGGTTTTGCGTTTGGATTTGGTTTGTTTTCGTTTGCTTTTTCGTTTGTGTTTTTTTCTTTGGGTTTGTGTTTGTGTTTGTGGTTGGTTTTGCGTTTGGATTTGGTTTGTTTTCGTTTGCTTTTTCGCTTGTTTTTTCTTTGTGTTCGTATTGGTGTTTGTGGTTGTGGTTGGGTTTGTTGTTAGGTTTTTGTTTTCGTTTGCTTTTTTGTAATTGTGTTAGCGTTATGTTTGTGTTTTGTTGTTTTGGTTTTGGTTGGTTATGGTTTGGGTGGGCAGTGCCGGGTTTATGATGATTACTAAACACACAGGTAATGGTCTTTACAGAAAGGTTTTTCACAGAAGCCAGAGCAGGGCCTGGCCGGGACGGCTAGTACAGATTATAAAGAAAGTATTGTAATCGTGCAAAAAAAAAAAAATAAACCGGGAGTGATCTCCCCTAAACTTCCTCGAATATTCTTATATAAAAAAACAGGGCATGGCAACTCGGGATATAGACAATATTTTTAAATCCATTTTAAATACTTTAACTTTTTAAAAATAGAATAAAATTTCGTAGAAAAAAGAATGGCACAACAAGTGAACGCCAAATAAAATGTGCATAATAGTGCGGAATATTATCAATACTTTACAAATTCACATGCCTTATTTCGAGAAATCGGAAATAGCGAAAATTACTACTTCCGCTCAACAGAAATTACTCAAAATTAGCTGGAAGGCAGAGAATTAGACCTTTTACTTACATGTGAAATTTTATTTATCTATCTGAAATAGTACTCAAGTTATATGCTTTAGAAAAGTTCAACGAAGAAAAAGTTCCACTTCCGTTTATCGGAAATCGCTCAAAAGTTGATATGGATCTACGATTTAGATATAATACTTACATATGAAATTTCATCAACCTAGCTGTAAGGGTACTCAAGTTATCGTGTTTACAGACACACAGACACACACATACACACAGACATACGGACAAGATTACAAAATTATGTTTTTCCGTATCAGTGAGGTGTAAAACGTCGAGATTTGCCAAAATCTTATTTTTTTATTTTGCACGATTACAAGACTTTCTCTATACTTCGTATATACGAGAAAGTAAAAAATCGAGATTTTTGCAAATCTGAACGTGTCATTATTTTTCCACTTTCAATTTTTCAAAAGCCTATAACTTGAAAACTATCTCAGATAGATATATGACATTTCACACGTAAGTAAAAAGTCTAAATCTCTGCCTTCTTTCAAGTTTTGAGTAATTTCCGTTGAATGGAAGTTGCAATTTACGCTATTTCCGATTTCTAAAAAAAACGCATGTGAATTTATAAAGTACTAATAATATTTGCACTATTATGCACATTATGCTTGGTGTTCGCACTTAAATGAACATGTAGAAACATATAAGCTTAAGTTTTGAAGAACGTCAACGATGAACACACGTGTATGCGTTTGTTTCATTTCAAATATATTAATCTTAAATCTTATTGAATATTCTACAAGAGCATATGGTAAGAAAAATAATATTTTTGTGTATGTATTTTAATATTATTTAGATCTATATTTTATCTGTGTGTTGTGTTTTATTTGCCGATCATTATTGTGAAGAATAGAAAACTTTTATGTACAATAAAAAAACAACAACAAACAGAATAATCTAACAACAAAAAAATTCCCATTAAAAGTAAAATATAAGAATTAAATAAAAAATATTGCAAATGCAGAGAACTTGAAAACATTTTGATATCTATCTACCAACCATATATATTTAGCATTAATGTGCTGAATTGTATACAGCTAATTCACTTTGCATAATATTACTGGCCTGGTCGCAAAATGTTTAGATCTAGTTCTGAAATCATAGTTGTCGAGTTAATGTGACATCCACTAGTTCTACTTCTTGTTCGTTCTTATTTTTAGTGTTGGGAGAGATTCACCCCAACACAATTAAGTATACGTGTCAACCTGTTATGCGCCAATAGGCTGTTGACCTCAATTAGCAAAAAAGTTGACAAAATTATTTTCATCTTTGGTTCAAGTGCATCTTATTCTTTATATATGTCAGACAAACCCCGGAGAACTTGTGGCTTGAAGTGTGAGGCCCTGTCAATGAATGTAGGTTCCTAACGCTAATTCAACACAGGGCGTCTTTGTGTTATAAAACTGAAAATAATGA